TCATTAATCACCACTAATTCTTTGCTATTTATATTTTTATTTCAAAGGGTGAATGCATTTTAAAGTAGTATAATGCGTTTTATTCTATATCTAGAATATGATTTTTATGCTTCCCTTAAGATATCTTTACTTTTCACATTAACTGTATAAAACTGATAGCTCATCAGATCTAGTAAATTATTTTATGTATAATTTTATACATAAAATGTATAATTATTTTATGTATTTTGTGTATAAAATGGTATCTAATAGGTGTTTCATCCATGTCTGTTGAAGAAATTTATTCAACAAAGTTTTCTTGTTCACCCTCTACGTACTAGGCACTCTTATACATGTTGGAGATACGGCAAAAAATAAATAACAAAGTTCCTGAGAGTTGATAATATGGTGGAAGGGGCTATAAACAATGAATTATCAGGTTGTGATGACTGTGCCAATGTATATAAAACAAGGCAAGGACAATAGAGAGTGAGGGCAGTGCTTGCACTTGATTTGGTTTACACACGGAACGCCTGTCTCCCAGGTGATGTTTGCACACCTGAAGAACATGAGTGAGGAAGGCGTGGGTCATCTGGGGAAAGTAACTTTCTGCAGAGGGAATAGCAAGTGAAAAAGTCCTAAGGAAGGAGGATGCTTAGTGTGCTTGAGGAGCAGAAAAGAGGCCAGCAAAGGAAGAAAGAGGGAAGGAAGAATGAAGGAGACGCCGATTGCAACCTTGTACATTTGTATAGAATGCTATGGTCGGTTTGCTCCTGAAGCCTCTCTTCAGGAATGAGGAGGGGGAGTGATGGCACATCTGAAAAACCTTTCCTGCATCCCTTGGGATGTCTTTACCCCTTCTGGCTTTTGAATTATATCACTTAGGACACATTGATTGCAAGACATGGCACACCTAACAAACAGGTTAATGATAGTTATGGTTACTGGGTACTTAAGAGTAAATGCAAAGTCAGGTCAATGCAAGTTGCGTCCACAGATCTCTGGCGTCATCAGGAAACCAGACTTTCCTTTTCAGTCGGGGTATTTTGGGATCCTGGCTTTCTATTCATTCTTGTCTCTTCAGGGCCAAAGGTGGCTGCCGAAATTCCAGATATCATGTCCACACCTGAAAACTTCCAATCTATAGTGAGAGCAGCACAAAAATATTTTCGTTGTGCAGTTCTCTCTCTCTCTCTCTCTCTTTTTTTCTGGACATGGTCTCGCTCTCCTACCCAGGATGGAGTGTGCAATGATGCAAGCATAGCTCATGGCAACCTCAAACTCCAGGGCTCAAGCAATCTTCCTGCCTTAGTTTCCCAAGTAGCTGGGACCACAGGCATGCACCACCGTGCCCACTTAACTGTTTTGGTGTTTCTTCTGTAGAGACAGGGGCCTCACTATGTTGCCCAGGATGGTATCAAACTCCTGAGCTCAAGCGATCCTTCTGCCTCCGGCTCCCGAAGTGCTGGGGTTACAGACAGGAGCCACCATGACCAGTCATCTCTCTCTTTTTAAAGAGAGACAACTGTTTCCCAGAAGTATCTGGCAGACCTTCTTTTATTCTTTTATTACTTTTTGGCAAGTCAGCCAAGATAAAAATGGCAAATAAAATGGTATTCCACTGATCAGTTTATTGCAGTTATAATTTATTGCGTTAACCCATAATTCAGGCCCTTACATTGTGTCTAGTACTTTTCGAATCACTTTATATGTCATGTTATTTATTTCACACTATGGCACTATTAGGTAGGAGCTATTATTATCCCAATTTTGCAGGTGACAAAACTGAAACACAAAGAGTTTAAATAGCTTACTCATAACAGAAGAAAATAGATAAAACTCAGGACGTCTGTCTCCAGATGAGGGTGCCACAGAGGGTATCAACTCCCTTTAGGAACAGAGTTCAGTGATCAATGGGCTAGAAGCATCTACATTCATTTCATAGAGGCCACATTTCCAAGAAAAAGTAACATATAAGGCAATATGTTAGCCCAAATAATCAGTAGAAAAGGAGAAAACATTATTCTTTATAACACTAGCATTACAAGATATTAACATTGCAAAATACTTTGGAGAATTATTAGGCAGTACCTACTAAAGCTGAATATATGTACACCTGACAACCAACATTTCATCCTTACATATTTGCCAACATGAATGAGAACAAACGTTCACTAAAAGACACATTCTAAAGTTGGTTTATCATTTAGTTATAAGTCATTGCAAAATCAAATGCTTTGAAAACTGTAATTTTCTTGCTGAGAAAAAGAAATTAGGCAGTGGAATATTGAAAAACTTTTAAAAATAATGTATGTCTGTTTGTCATTGTATTCAGGTACCAAACTGTATGTAGTGTGCCTTCTAACGACCAATTTAATCTCCATGGGATATACTAAAAGTTGAAAGCAAAGCAAACACAAATCAAAATTTTAATTTATAATCTTTACCAATGGAAACTGTATATTTCACTGTCCATTATGTTGCCCTATTCAGTGGAAGATACTCAAATCGGATTACTTTACTGTTAGAGTAAGATTAATTAGTACAGTGAATTTATCCACACTTAGCAGTGTTACTTTTCAGAAATCTTTCACTTTTTGTTGCAGCTGTTTGAGGCTTTATTAAATTCAAATTCGAGCTGTTAAATCAAGGCTCTCAGACTCCTGCTGCCTGGCCAGTGGAGAAGTCAAGTTTCACATATGGCTTTGGGGTTTCT